ATTAAACATCAATTGGACAGAATGCATGGTTGCTAGCAAAAGGAACAGCACAACATGCAAATTAAAATTGGAATAGCAAAATCAAACAAGTACACCAATTGAAATATCTTGGAAGTGTTTTATCAGGATGGAAGGAATGAAGGAAAAAAGGGAGGAAAAGGATTAAACATCAATTGCAAGAAGACAGAATGCATGGTTGCTAAAAAGAAAAAAGGAACAGCCCAAACATGCAAATTACAAATTGGAGATATGCAAAATCAAACAAGTAAACATCAACAAATTGAAATATCTTGGAAGTGTTTTATCAGGATGGAAAGTAATGAAGGAAAGCAGGAGGAAAGGATTAAACATCAATTGCAAGAAGACAGAATGCATGGTTGCTAGCAAAAGGAACAGCCCAACATGCAAATTACAAATTGGAGATAGCAAAATCAAACAAGTACAACAATTGAAATATCTGGAAGTGTTTTATCAGGATGGAAGGTAATGAAGGAAAGCAGGAGGAAAGGATTAAACATCAATTGAAAGAAGACAGAATGCATGGTTTGCTAGCAAAAGGAACAGCCCAACATGCAAATTACAAATTGGAGATAGCAAAATCAAACAAGTACAACAATTTGAAATATCTTGGAAGTGTTTTATCAGGATGGAAGGTAATGAAGGAAAGCAGGAGGAAAGGATTAAACATCAATTGCAAGAAGACAGAATGCATGGTTGCTAGCAAAAGGAACAGCCCAACATGCAAATTACAAATTGGAGATAGCAAAATCAAACAAGTACAACAATTTGAAATATCTTGGAAGTGTTTTATCAGGATGGAAAGTAATGAAGGAAAGCAGGAGGAAAGGATTAAACATCAATTGCAAGAAAACAGAATGCATGGTTGCTAGCAAAACAGGAACAGCCCAACATGCAAATTACAAATTGGAGATAGGATGGAAAAATCAAACAAGTACAACAATTGAAATATCTTGGAAGTGTTTTATCAGGATGGAAGGCAATGAAGGAAAGCAGGAGGAAAACAATTAAACATCAATTTTTATCAGCAAGAAGACAAAATGCATGGTTGCTAAATATCAAAGAACAGCCTAACATGCAAATTACAAATTGAAATTAAATTGGAAAAATCAAACAAGTACAAAAATTGAAATATCTGGGAAGTGTTTTATCAGGATGGAAGGTAATGAAGGAAAGCAGGAGGAAAGGATTAAACATCAATTGCAAGAAGACAGAATGCATGGTTTGCTAGCAAAAGGAACAGCCAACATGGAAATTACAAATTGGGAGATAGCAAAATCAAACAAGTACAAAAATTGAAATATCTGGGAAATGTTTTATCAGGATGGAAGGATAATGAAGGAAAATCAGGAGGAAAAAATTAAACATCAATTGCAAGAAGACAGAATGCATGGTTGCTAGCAAAAGGAACAGCCCAACATGCAAATTACAAATTGGAAATAGCAAAAAAAAAACAAATGTATTTTTTGGAATTGAAATATCTGGGAAGTGTTTTAACTGATCAGGATGGAAAGGATAATGAAGGAAAAAAGCAGGAGGAAAGATTAAACATCAATTGCAAGAAGACAGAATGCATGGTTGCTATAAAATGGAACAGCCCAACATGCAAATTACAAATTGGAGATAAAAAAATCAAACAAGTAAATTGTTGAAATATCTGGAAGATGTTTTATCAGGATGGAAAGTAATGAAGAAACAAGCAGGAGAAAAAATAATTAAAGGACATTAATTGCAATCAGTTAGAACGCATGAACTTTCTAGGGCACATAATGACGAAAGAGGGTTTGCGAAATTTAATGCACACAGGATAGATTGAAGGCAAGAAGGACAGAGGAAATCAATGCATGACCTACCTAGCGATCTTGAGTAAATGAGATAACAAAAGGAAATTTATTTAGAGCTACAAAGAACAGGAAATTGTGGAGAACCATGATCGGCAACGTCCTCAAAAGATGGTACATAGAAGGATTTACAAATATTCGAAAGTTTTTGATGGTGAGGGATTAACGGCAAAGCTATCGGTTGAAGAGAATCAGCGGAAAATATCCTGGTATATACCAAGTTTACTTTAGGCCAGTACAGCGCTACAACCTTGGAATACTCAGCGATAATCGAAATCATTAAACTTACATCTTGTTTATGTAATGAGCTCTTTAAGCAGCACCCTACGGTAAGTTTCCTCAATCCCACTGTCTCCGTTTAAACATCAAATGGATGATATTTTATAAATACAGGAATTGGTTACTTTGATTTTTGTGGTAGGAAAAGCGATAAGATCACTTTGTTGGTTGATTACTTTTTAGTCACTATATAACAAATAGGTTTATAAAATTAAATAAATGGTGTCATGATATTTCCTGTGCCAACTCAGTACTCAAATTCATATTTACTGAAAAGGCGAACAACAAAATGTTCGGCTTCATCTTAAAAAGTTTTTAACCTACACCAGTCAACTTCTCCTGTTTGCAAAATTGAGCAAAATTGTAAAAAAATAAAGACAATGAACGCTCAATAAAGAAAATGAAGGTGAAATATCGACGAGGAGAAAAGTTTCAAATACGGCCATCTTGAGTTATCGCTTTGGTGAGAAAAAGTCTGTTGGTTTTGATAAAAAAAAATATTCTTCATTCATGGATTAGTTCACTTTGCACTACCTGGGGGTACGTAACTGACATTTGAAGCGTCTTTGTTGTTATATCTTTGTTCTCTCAGACTAAGGGATTAGATCTTCCATTTAGCCAGCGAGAATTCTGTCTCCCTCAGTTTCTTCATTTATTCTTAGTCTAACTGTGACTCTGCTATGACTGCCATCTTAACTAGAATGCGGCTTGCTGACACTATATAAGCCAATGACCGGAATTCCTTACATTCCGGCCGAATGGAATTTGGTTTCGAAAGTTTTCATTTTATTTTGTTTTCACTACTTATGGACAGTAGATGGTTGCTTTGAAATTTCCACATCTGGATTTTATTCGCGACGACGTCGGTAGTCATAAGATCACTGAGCAGATAAAATCATTTACAGTCCATTTGACTAGGGGAACCCAAAGTTAGCATAATAATAAATCAGTTATTAATTTTTTCTTTTCTTTTTTCTTTTCTTTCTTTTTTCTTTTCTTGCCTTTTTTCTTTTCTTTTATTTTATTAATTCTTACTTTTATTCAAACGAGTTCTCTTTTCTCTCTCTTTATCAATTTATACTTCATCTCGTCTCTCGAAAAAAAAGTTTTCGTTTCAATACTTACTTTATATTTCTCAATTATCCTTTCATTAAAGATTAAAATTTTTTTCATCTTTAGCTAACTTCACATACTTAAACTTTCTCTTAATATTTCACGACACTTAACCAATCGATATGTCTATTTATAAGTTGGACAAAATTAAACGTTACCGGTGTCTGATCAAAAAGAACATCCATTCTAATATGAACAGTCTGAAGTGATTTCCTTTTTATATCATCAATCACATTTGGTCACTAATTAAATTACATCCGATTTCAAGTTAGAATGATGTCTTTTGAAATATCAGACATGTTCATCTTAAACATTCTGAAGGTTAAAACAGTTAAAAAACTCGTTTGATGTTCTCGGGGAGAAAATAGTCCATAATAAAGGCAATTAACACAAAATTAATCCTATCACATCTTGGGAAATCGTAGAAAGATATTAATAAAATTCATAAAGGAGGCATTTAGTAGAACTTTGCTCGGGACCTCTGGAAATTATTGGGAGAATTCTGCCCTCAAATGTCTACAAACCGGTCATTGAATATATTAAATATAGAAAACGTGACTCAAAGAAAACGTGACAAATATAGTATCGCGGATGTTGCAGTTAAAATAAGAGCTTCAAAATTTGGACATTGTAAATATATTTCTTATGACTATAAATGTTAAAAATGATCCATGAATTCCTTAGAAATGTGGATATATATTAAATAACGTTGGTTAAGTCCAATACAAGATTTAAAAGAAGAATAAATTATGTTTCCCTATATTGATATTCTCCATGCATTCTAGAAGCGTTAAAAAAAATTGATCCTCACAGCTTAATCGAAAATTCACCTTCACTGATAGTGGGCTGTAGGCGGTTCAAAGTAACATTTTTTCCAGGCAACATCCAAACTCATATTCATCTCTAGTTTGAAAATTGTTTAAATCAGTAGGATACATCTGAATCGACAAAAGTAGACTAAAAAGAAGAGGAAGGAAGATTGTGCTGCTTTTGTTTTCTAAATGAGTTTATCAATAAGTTTTAGTTTTTATAAACATGAAATTTTTATCTGATATATATATATATATATATATATATATATATATATATATATATATATATATATATCCATGCATTAATTTTCCGTCGAATCCGGACGTATGAGGGAAAAAGGATCGGTTCCTAGGAAACCGACAGCCCGACAACAGCAGGAAAGATTTGATTATAGTAGGGAGGTTTCGTGCAGAACCATCCACACTTTTTGAAGGCCCGAAGAGAGAAGGGTCGTTTTTTTTACCCTGTGGTCCCCAAACGACCCTCCGCAGGTTTTGAGTTCAAAGTTCTCCTCGACCAGTTGCCACCTAAGGCTATAGAACTCAGTCTGTCCTGCTATTTGCCAATATCTGGGGGGAGAAGAAGAGGATTCATACCTTTCCCAAGGATATTTGCACGTAACATGTAATGGATTCGACTGGAATTCCTCGATCCAAGCCGCTATCCATAACGCCACCGTGCGTCATACCTTTTCAACGGTATTTGCGCCTAACAAACCCGACTGGAATTAGAATTCGGTTCTCTGATTTCCAATTCCGAGATTCCATTACACCACCCGCACAATCAAGCCTCTTATTCCTCAAGTGGTTACCCATCTAGATACTGACGAGGCTAGACGTTGCCTAACTTCGGTGATCGTACTAGAAAAGTACGCCTTGTGAACTTTCTTGATATGGTGGACAGGAAATCGGCGATTGAGTCCTCTTCTCTCATTATTCGGCAATATCACGTTGAAACACCAGTTATCGTACGATCACCGAAGTTAAGCAATGTCGAGCCTGCTCAATATCTGGATGGGTAACCGCTTGGGATTGCCAGCTGCTGTAAGTTTGGATGTGCGGGCGGTGTAGATAACTGCTCGGAATTGGAAATCGGAGAGCCGAGTTTCAATACCAGTCTGGTTTATTATATTTACTCACGAGCAAATATTCTTGGGAAAGGCTATGAATCCGCCTCTTATTCTCCCTAACTATGGGTTAATTTGTAGAACTTGCATTAGCATATCATTAGCATATCATTAGTATTACCCAAAAATTCTTACAATGTAAAAATACTTTCAAGTTTTAAATAATCGGTAAAAATTTGTTTGGTAAAAACCGGAAAACAATCAATAAATTTGATCTTTCCAGATGGCTCCTCAATTCCTTATTTATTTTTTTTTAACTACAGATAAATATATAGACCCAGAATTTACTTGGTAAAGAATTTTGTTTGAACCGCTGGCAGCCCACTGTCAGACATGACAAATTATCGATTATGGAGTTTGTTAATAATAATTTTTAAATTTGCTAAGTACTGAATTTCGTCTTAATTTTTTTTTTTTTTTTAGTGGCTTTTTATTGCAATTTTTAAGTTTAACAGTTTAAGTCAAATAGTAAATAGTAGTAAAAATTAATAATAATGGTCGATAATGCTTCATGTAATGAAAAATGCTGCTATTCGAATCTTTGCTGTTCATTTCTTTACAACATTTAGACCGATTCATTTTTGGAGATCCTTAAGATTAATGTTTAATGATTAATCAAACTTAGTAGCCATAAATATTCTACGTAGACTGATTCAAAATTGCCCGTGAGTTACAGTTTGTTGTAACCTAAGGTTGGTAATGAACGATAATACTATATTTCGATATATTTATATATATATATATATATATATATATATATATATATATATATATATATATATATATATATATATATATATATATTTAATATATATATATATATTTAATATATATATATATATATATTTTTTTTATATATATATATATATATTTTTTATATATATATATATTTATATATATATATATTTAATATATATATATATATTTAATATATATATATATATTTAATATATATATATTTAATATATATATATTTAATATATATATATATTAATATATATATATATTTAATATATATATATATATTTATATATATATTTATATTTATATATTATATATATATAATATATATATATATTTAATATATATATATATTTATATATATATATTTATATATATATATATATTTATATATATATTTAATTATATATATATTAATATATATATATATATATATATATATATATATATATATATATATATTATTTAATATATATATTGATCTGGCATGCTATCTCTTGTGTAAGATTTGGTCAGACAAACGGTTCTCTTATCTCCTAATTACATTCCAGATCCATCCGTCATTGTACGATATTCAATGACGTATTTATGGAAAAAAACGACATCAGCTGCCGTGACAATTACTTCAAATCTGTTGAGCGTGCCCCCACCCCCAGGGCTGACTCTCTGTGCATCTCTGTTCATGAGCGGGAGTAGTGGCGAAGCCGGATCTGTTGACTTTGTGGTTGATGGCTACATCAATGCACACTCTTGAAACTATCAGATTCTTTTAGTAAATGTTTGTTTTCTTTGGCCTCTGTCAAGACTGACAATAGCTACAGTAGGTATTTGACTATCACCTGTTTTACAATAAACTAAACAATGAGAAATCTTTTTATTCTTTTCTATTTAAGAGTTGCAACAATTGAAATGTTAAAAGTTCTTCTGTTTGTAATGTTTTAACGCTTTAATGACCAACGTAAAATCTGATGATAGAAAAATCCGATATTAACACCATGTCACGAATCCCTTAACACTCTACATTCGTTGGGATGGCATATGTTCTGTACCATGACAGCAGTGTTGTATCTAGGGTAAGATAACCTGACGGAGTTCATCCCTCTTCAAACTGGTTTTTGAATTTAGTTTTCATTCTAGACTTTTTGCTCACCTCAAAGCAAAAGATCATAGTCAGCTTAGCTGTTTAACTCATAGATGGCGGAGAAGAAATTGACCCATAGCTTTCCCAAGGGGATTTCTGCGAAACCGAAACTCGGCCGCTCGATTTATTTTTCAGAGTCGTCGACCATTATATTCCCTTCATATCCACGTATTATTTATAAGTTTCTGAAATACAGGTATTAAATATAGGTCGATGAAAATATTGGTATTTACTATAGTTTTCAAACATATAATGCCTTAATGAAAACCGTTCTGGTTTTAGGACGGTAGGAATTAATGGCGATGTTTGTTGTTTTGGGGTTTTTTTTGTTGTTGTTTTTTTCTAGTCTTGATACGAAGTTAAATTCGTCATTCTCTGATTAATAAGTTACGATACCAACGTCTGAAACATATTCGGTCGTAAATTTGTTTTTGTTTTCATCCTGCCGTAAAAGAAGGCACCAGATACAAATTTCGATTACATGATATAATTATCGATTACATAAAGAATCAATTATTTAATTGTGTCCATTGTATAAATAATGGCCAGTTTAAAGTTTTCCGCACATCTAAAGAAATATGGAAATCTGTTGAAAATTCTTTCCTGCCTCTTCTTCATTTTTCTGACCAGAATCTCTTTTCAGAAAAGCATAAATGAGTCATTGGAAAAGTTTTCTGCAAAATATATTCGCCATATTAGAATTTTAAACAGTAAGGAAAAAAGAAAGCAAAGCTTCTTGAGAATTTTTCCCGCGAAAAAAAAAAAAAGAAGTTTTTATTTGATCCCATTAACAGTTGATCATTGAGAAAGATTAGTCGAGGCAAACTACTCCGCCATGGGAAATAGTTCTACCGATTGACCAACTCGAGCGTAAGATACGAGAGTAATGAATTTCAATTTGGTTGAATAATTCTGCCGCAGAATATTGTTCGAGAACCGATATGACTCTTTGAACAGTTGCATTCCGTTGAATGGTAAATGGTTCCATAAATTGGTCGAATCTTTTGGGAAAAATCATTGAAGACGGTGTGGAATAATAAGTGAGAATGAACCTTTTATCGTTATATCTTTGTTTTATTTTTCGTACCGCTATTAAAAATCTAATCATATTTTTAATATTTATTAATAAGTGTTTTGAAAAAGAAATAAGGCGCGGAAAGTTTTTAACCTAATCCAATTTCCTAAAATTTGAGCAAATGACTTGTAACCTCTTCCTACTCAAACCAAGAACTTTTCACTAATCCCTAATGCAATAGTAGATCCACGGATTTTGGTTAACTACGAGGTGTGTTACCATCGATATTATTGTATTCAACTAATTTTTTTTATCTTAGTAATATCCCAAATTAATATGGTCCATTGCTACACGAAGTTGATATATATGTGTCTGAAACCTCCTGACGAGTGGACAGGACCATTACAAAAATGTTCGTCTATGAAAATCTAGAGTCGAAGCGCTGAATATAATATAAATAAGCTAAGCGACATATCTTATTTGTATTAATCGTATATATATATATATATATATATATATAAGTGGATATTGAAATCAATACCCAACAGCAACAGTCTGTGCCATGCTTATACGCAACCGTCAAGCAATATGCGCTGAGTTATTGTTGAAGTTCTATTTTGGAATATAGTTTGATTTCTCTAAGAAATTGTCGAATATTATATGGATGAATGTGATGAAAAAGAGTTCTTTCATGTTGGTGGCATATCAACCTCTCGATGGATTATTTAATGCGGAAATCTAAATATTTTGTACGTAATTTTATACTTTCAGAGTAATGGTCTGTTTTTTTAGATATATAGTTTGTACATCATAAAATGTATTGTTGGTAATTTCACTATTTGCCCATAGCTGTGACCCTAACAGGTGCTACCACCCCTAGTCAGTTGGAGGAGCAGAAGTCCACTGATTGAGCCTTGGTTAACAAGGACTTTCGAAATGAGTCAAGGCAATAAAAATGCTTAACAAATTTCATTAATAAAGATTTTTCCGCAGTGCCATGAGAAATCTCTGAGGAATTCATTTAATCAAGAAAAACATGTCCTTATATTTGAAGAACCATAGGTTTAATGGCCTATAATATTGCATCTTTTTGGTTCTCCATCCTTTACTAGACATTAGTCACTACATTTTTAAATAGTCTAGTAAAACGAATGAAATCACCATTCTTCATAGACGTTTCTCAAGCCAATCTTTTTTTAATTTCTTTGCTTGGAATACATTTCATACGTCCTTTTCAATCTCCTATGATGCGTCCTGATCACAAGTAGACCATTCTTGGCTTCCTTTAAAAAATAACTATGAGAATTTAACACAAATTGAATAAGTTATCTTTCTCGGCATGTTGCTTCTTTTATATCGAAAGATGTATTTGATATTTCACTTTCAAAAAGTTGTCTTGTTATTAAGAAAGGCAATGTAGGATTGTTTCAGGAAGAAATTATTATCTTGATGGGTATTAACTTGACTAGATTTTCTGAAAACTTTTTTCAAAAGAAAGGATTTTTTTCTTTGTTCCAGTTACAGATTCTGATTGCAGAACAGTATGAAAGATATTACGTTTAGATCAAGTGTCTTTGCTTGGAATGGACAAAGTATTTTTCAACTCACAACCTTCTTTCAGAAACACTTGTAAGAGTAACAAACTATAATCTGCAAATCCGAGGCAAAGGTCATTTACAGACAGTTTCCCGGGAGATGATTCTGAATAAATATTTGGATTCCGTGGTGGATATTTTATGAAATTCACAGTAGAGGTTAAAAATCTACAGGAGTTAAAGATAAAATAAAATTAAAAAAAATCATTGCAAGACAAAAGTTATGAACAGAAAGTGTTTAAAAATGTTGTCCAAGGAAAAAGAAAACTTAAAGACTTGCAGTTTCTAAAATCTCAAACAAATTCTGAACTATTCACTAAGAAAAGAGGAAGTCTTGGATTTCATGACATTAGGTATACCTGACTTGGTAAAACGAAATTTTTTGTATAGACAAGTTCGATATGCTAGAATGGCCTGTCAAACATTGTT